AGTTTGTTCTACCCTATATCAGTGTCACTGTCTCTTTATATACCAATCATGTGGTATATATGCATATAGCTTAAGAACCATTCCACTGGAGAAACCACTGCATGACTCTCTTTGTAAGCTGTTTTACTGTGTTGTATCTTAACATCAAAAAAACTTTTTAATAATGCTATGCCAGTACAAAGGAAGTATAAATAGTGCAGATCACATCAAGGGTGTGAACAGGTGTGATAGATAAAAATTCATATCATCCTAGGCACACTCATAACTGTGTGTGCCGAAGGACTTCCTTTGCTGGTGTTCAAACCATTGACATCAATATTGTGTACTTATGAGCCACTATTTTTATTTCTTTTTTCCTCTTTGTCTTGGTTTCTGTTTTGTCAGTATGCTATCTTACTAATGATTCACTGTGAGCAATCAATCACATCATCTAACTCATTTCAAACAAACAATGAAGCTATTTGATTTAGATATTTTGAGGTCCTGTTCCAGCAGTATTGCAGGTATGGGTAGTGAACGCATGAGTATAAATATAAAAGAGAAAATATCTTTTTGAGATGTTAGTTTGTTAACATTAGAAATGTCTTCAGGTTAAAGGAGGTTTGGGTAATGGCTGTGAGCTTTAGGGGTCTACTTGGAAAGTAACCAGTAAAAACTTGAACCTTTTCCAGGAAAATAGGCTTTGAATGTGCTGGCTATAATAAGAGAGCATTTGAAGCTAATTTGTTAGTGGGTTTGTTATCACTGTTTACTTCAAATTTGATCTCTTAAGATGTGTTGGGAAAAGAATTAAGCTAAGCATCAATATTAAGAATTGTGGTTGTAAAAATTAGTGATACTTAGATAAAAACTTTTTGCAAATCCTTTTTACCCATTTGCTAAGACATGACTTTGGAGTTATTTTATTCCTTAGTGTAGACTGCCTAGAAGAATATACAGAAAATAAAATACCGTTAGGAGCAACCAAATGTTATCTTTATTTGACGTGTGTTAATATGTTTTGAATGTTTTACTTCAGTTTTTACTACTGAGCTGATTTAAATTATCATCTACCTAAATATATTACTAAAAAGAAGGCAGTCTACTTTTTTTGTCTTCTTTCTGATTGCTGTGTTTACCCCTTGCTCTTGTATTTTTTGTGTGTTGGATCTTCTTAAAAACGTTGCATTTTGCAATTCTGTAGGGCATATTTCTTGGTAGCCAACTGTTGCTGTTCTTATTTTCAGATAGTTTTGGAAAATTTACAGCATCATAAAGCCTAGTTTCCAAGTTTTCACCTATTATGCATAGATGCTGAAGATGCATGCTTGACTTTACACATATTGAAGTCAATTGTGATGGGATTGTCTAAAGTTAACCACATGCTAAGAGTTCATAAATAATGTGACTAAGGATAACAAATTAAAAAGAAAATGAAGAAAGGGGAAGAGAAGGGATTACAACAACATCAAAAAAATATGTGCTTTGCTCTGTTGGCTCATTTTCAGGCTTTCTTCGCAAGTTTTTTAATTGTGTTGGATTTTTTGATCTAAATTCATGTTACATGCAGAAACAAATATGAACTTTCTTCTGTAGTGGAATATTTCTGTGTGCGGAGAGTATCTGTCAGTTGTCTTACTGCTCCATGTCTTTGGCATTTTGATGACTAGAGGAGATCAGGCTTTTTTACCACTTTGGACCACTAATCTGATGCCCAGTGGACTAAAGAATTGCCCCTGTTTTTATAACTTTCCCTGTAACCAAATATCTGCATGCGGGCCGGGCCACCTGATGCTCACCAGTGACACCTATGGACAAGGGAAAAGCAAAACCAAGCTGCAAATGTTGTGGGTGTTTGAATACAGTAATAGTTTTCAGAGGTCATGGAAATGGCAGTCAGAGATGTGATATTGCTTTGTCTTTACTTTCTTGGCTAAGCTTATTAGCAAACAGCACTAATTATGTGATTATATACTTTTATTTCCTTTTCCTCTTCTATATTTTGTGAGCAAAAGCCTGCTCAGTGCTTCATTTGAATTCATGTCATTTCTGGGTTTCAACCAGTGCCTCATTTTTGGTGTTCAGCATCATCCATTGTAATGGGGGTGGTCATAGTCCATAGTCCTTTCCCATACCAATGCAATCCTAGTCCATAATCCTCCTGTTATTGGACACTTACTTCCAGCCCAGCCTAACAGCATGCACAACATTACCTGTGTCTGTGTGGCGTAGGCATATGGGGCCATGCTGAAATTTTGGGTGTTAGCTTAGATTTATTTAACAGTCTGCTTTTCATACCGTTTTCTTTGTGCTGCTACAAGTGACTGAATTTCTGCTGTATTAGTGAATGACACTTTGTCACTACAGGGGCCATGTTCTTTCCAGATTTCAGGTTCCCATCATCTCTAATCGAAGAACTTGCAGTTCTCCATGGCAGGAAGGCTCCGGGTTTGTTTTTTTTTTTTTTTCCTGCTACTATCTGCAGTTATTTTCAGAGCTCTCTGCAATGCAACTTGCAGTGAAAACGCATTGGTTCTTGGCCAAGAGGGACTGGGTCAGCCAAGCTGTTCAGGGTGATCCCAAGCTGCTAGGCACTGAAGTGCCATTACTCTTAATGACCATACTATACCTGAGAGGCATTAGTGATGTTCAGTACATCCAAGATTCAGTCTGTGCTGTTGTCTTGCTGAGCTATGTGGAGACGTTCCCAACAAAGAGCAGTAAAAAAGGGCATTACATTTTTATTGCAGTTTTCTTCCAGCTTTTTGGAAACCATCCTATATCCACAGAGGAGGTCAAATAATGCAAATACGGTAGGTCAGTAGGGATCTATACAGGTTGTACAATACTGTGAAATGAGTGTCTCTTTTTGGTTGACAGTGTAATAGTTAACAAGGGAAAAGCTCGCTGTTCATACTCTTGAGTTCTTCTCAAAGTCTTTGTTTTAAGCTGCTGGCAGACTAAGGCAGAGTTCTTCTTGCAGTACATTATAGCATATTGTCAAACAGGAATGGGAAATTCCTTGCTCAAAATCAGCTGATAGAACACAGATTATTTTGTCCATCCCTTTTCTTTTGCTTGCTCTTCTCCTCCCTCCCCAGATCAGGCATGCCTGATTGTTTCCTTGCTTTAAGGCAGCCCCATCCAAACTGAAGCTAAACGATACACTGTTTACTCTTGAGTCGTTTCATTAGAATTAATTTAAAATTCTGAAAAACAAAGCATACTACCATAAGAGCATCAAGCAAGCAAAATGTGTTTGATGCTTTCTACAAGAAGGCACACCTGCTAGAATTACATGGGTCTGCAAGCAGGGAAAAGATTGAGCCTTCCCTTCTTCTTCCACCTGGAAGAATGTTCTTTCTGTTTTGATTTTACTGTTGTTGTGTGGTCCCCACCCCTTTTGTATTTTTTTTCCCCCACCATTCTTTTGGATCATTCCCCTCTTTTCCCTGGCACTGATCTTGAGTGGATGACATGTGTGTGCTACCACCAGTCTGATTCCACTGCATGGGTTTTATTTCCAAGAGGAAGAGGAGGATCTGTACTTTAAGGGTGGGGTGTTAAGGAAGGCGTGCAGTGTGCTGCAAGAGTTATCTAGCATGCTGTGTGTGACTTGCAGCCTTTTACTTTCAGCTCACCCTTATGTAAAGATTCATGCTAGGGGAGGGAAGGGAATAGTAAAGTGAGCAGCGTGTCTGTTGATTATCAAGAGATAGGTTGCAAGGTAGGAAGTAAGTTTAGTTTCTAATAAAAACCAAACAAAAGTAGAACTCAAGCCTTAGCAATTAGAAATTTAAAGTGGAATGGTTTTATGCAAAGCAAGTTACATTTTTTTTTTTCTTCTAAAGTCCTGTATACAGACATGCGGGGGGAGAGAACAATCCCAGAGGACTTAGGGGATTTACCTGAATCCTGAGCAATGGCTGCTTGAAAACCAAAATTTCAGAGTTAATCTAGTTATTGTATGAACAGAAATTAGTTGGACTGCTAGCATGCAAGCCTTAGATCTGAACAGATCTTTCTTGGGACATATTTAACGAAACTTTTTCACCTCTCTGATTTTTTATTTTGATCTGGTTTTTTTGCCCTTGCCTTCCCAATGAATAGCAGCAGTCTATCTATCCCACAGTGGTTAGTATAGCACAGAGCTTGATGCAGCCCTGGTTGAGGTCAAGCACTCCAGTTCGAACCTCTCAAGGGCTTTCTCTCTGTGTTGCCAGTGTACTGGTAAAAATGACTTTAAACTCTTGTCAGTGCAGTTACTGGTGCATGCATCACAGTCCCACTCAAATAAACCTGTCACAACACAGAGTCAGCAGCTAGAGAAGACTGCAAGGGCAGGCCTCTAGCTTTTTATTCGAGCATCACTAAACGTGCGCAGAGTACCCAATTATTTCAGCATTATTGAGGAAGCCTACAGGAGGATCCAAGCCTTGCTACATTAGATTTTCTTTAGTAATTTGCTCAAGTACCACTGAGGACACTTAAAGGGCTTAAAACGGTGGCTGCAACCAGTTTCCTTTTCTGGATTGTTAATTTGGGTTTTCTCTTTCGAATTAACTTTCACTGCATGCTGTGTAGTGGCGCTGGGAGAACTGTTTAACACTAATTTTCTCAATTTTCAGCTTTTTTTTTATTATATAACTACTTTTATAGTTACATGTGTTTTGATTAGACGTGTACGTGTGCATTTCTGCTAGAAAGAGAAAAATGTAATACTTCTGTCAGAAAAACAAAGATTTCTCCAAAAATGGGAACATTCCCTTCCTTTATTCTTCTTTTTCCTTTTATTTTGTTTTGTTTTCATTGTTGTTCTTCTTCTTCTGCAGCCTGAAGTTTACTGAATGTGTTGTGTCCAAACATACGGACATTTTTAAAACACCAGGATGTTTGTGCGTTGCTGTCTGAATTGATCAGATGCATTGGTTGATCTGATCAATCACAGTTGATGTATATAAGCAGTCAGACAACCCCCAGCTCCCTGAACAAATTCAATATCTGTGTTTTGTTTTTCACAGCAGCAACAACTTCAGGCCCAGCACTTGTCACACGGACATGGTCTTCCCGTGCCACTCACTCCGCACCCCTCGGGCTTGCAGCCTCCAGCCATCCCACCCATTGGCAGCAGTGCTGGTCTCCTGGCACTCTCCAGTGCACTGGGTGGGCAGTCACACCTCCCAATTAAAGATGAGAAGAAGCACCATGATAATGATCACCAAAGAGGTAGGTGCTGACAGATGCGTGTGTGGCTTTGTTTGTTTCCCTTCTTTTTTAAAAAAATTCTCCTGTTAAAATAAGGGAGGGGGAGGAGAGGAGAGAGATTTTCGGAAGAATTCCAAGCTAATTACTTCAGTGTTTATTATCTAGCAGTAGCCAGAAATTGTGTTCAAGTGCTAGAAATCCAGTTTTATAAATCTGGCTGCACAGCATTAATAATTAACTGTACAGAAAAGTTAACATCTGTGAAATTTATTATTTAACAGACATCAGGATTCTTTCTTCCCAGTATGATAAATATATAATTTTATGTAAACTAACTGGTACTTTTCTCTTTCTCTCTTCCCCCATCTCCATCTCCTGCCACCGTCTCTTCCCCTCCTTATGCATGCAGACAGAGACTCCATCAAGGTAGGATTCCATTTCATAGGTGTAAAGGGTAGCTTGACAGAGCTGTAGGCGCACAGCATTTTTCTAAAATATGGCCCAGAGTGGTGGAAAAAGTCACCAAGTGAAACTGGGTTGTGATACTTGTGTAGCAGCACCCTACATAGATTGCGTATCACATTTAGGAAGTGGCTGATAGTGGGACAGCTAGGATTGCAAGCAACGTACTGAGCAGCGAGTTTGCTGGAACAGCATCGAGGCTGTTTTTGGTTAGAATGAAAAGTCTGCCTGGGGTCCCTGCCCACGCTTCTGAGACAGAAACAATTAGCCATTAGCCTTAAATAATTTGGAGACTGTAAACTGTTATTCTGATATTTCTTTATAATGCACTTATGAAAGGAGAGCTCTGTGTCTCTCAGAGGAGAGGTGGAGTGCTGCCTGCTGTCCTGACTCAAGTAGTTGGAGAGGAGTGAGCTGCTTTTTCCTACTCTGATGAAGGTGGTACTCACGCTGAGGATTCTACCTTCCTTTTCCAGAAGTTAAATTTCAGGTTCTGAATGACTCTGCAATGTATCTGTATTACTCTGTATGTACTATCCTGTGTATGGTAGTGTCCATAAGTAGATGTAATAACACAACTTGCAGCCTGTATATTTTTGAGCATTCAGTGATGCATATAACTGTGACTCAGCTATGTACCTGGATGCTTTTCGATACTGGATAGCCACTAGACTCTCTCAGAGGTTCCTGAGGTTTCCATGCTGCAAGTGGGGAGATTGTACCCTGGCCTGCCCTTTCCTGGATTGGTCTGCTCTCCTAGTTTGCACGGTTTTCAGAAACATAAGGTCAACAAACCTTTTCAGGTGCTGGTATGTGAAATGAAAAATAAACTTCTACAAATGGCAAAACCTATGCCAACCTTCTGAGCACTTACGATGAGTTTGTCAAGTTTCTAGTGGTGGTTTTTTTAGGAATATTATATATATTCTTGGAGTTGGCCAAGTGGCAGAAGAGGTGTTCACAGCACGAGTCTAGGGTGCATTAGACAAGATTACCAGGATCTTGTCAGTCAGATGTTACAGTGTGCCCTAGCTGGCATTGGGAAAACCATGGTTCTGGGCACAGGCTTTGTCCCCATCAGAAATGTGTCCAGCCGGGGCTAAAGCATGAGGGGCCATGCCTTTGCTTTGCTTCTTCAGTAACTACAGGTGGGGATGTGTCCCACAATCTACCCCAGCGCACCCATTCTACCACTGGCAACTCTGACATGTCCCAGCCAAGTGCATCTGAGCCGATGGTTGTCAGTTCTCACGCAGCTCTGCATAACAACCAGGAGCTGACAGGAACTGTCAGTTTTTACTGTGAGCAGCAAAGGCACTGAAGCTGTCTATCTGCTGACATAAGGCAACAGTGCGTTGGATTTCACTTCAACTTTCTTGTCATGAGGACTAGAAACTGCCCTTAGTGCTTTATGCGATGAGGCTGGGCACAGATTAATGATAATTTCCCTAGAACATCCCCTCTTTGCTGTGAACAGGTAGGTTTAGTCCATTTTCCTTTTTCCTGCATTCAAACAAACAAATACAAGTAGGGCAGATACCTAAATACGGGAATACAAACTCATCTGGTTTCTTGAGTGAGTTTGCATACCTGTATAGTTAGAACCATGAGGATTTCACTCAAGAAAGTGGCTGAGGAGAACTACTAGTATATACCATCTGTTGTTTCTAAACAATACATGCTAGTCATGTTTCTGTAACATTTGTGGGATGTTGGGGTGTTTATGCTGGCATGGGTGTTAGGGGGAGCATTTGTACTGAAAAGCCTGATTTTGTCTGGGATTGATTCAAAGCCGCTGTTACTCAAACAGTTTCCAAAGGGAGAGGAGGGCATTGCTAGTTTGTGCCAGTTTACTTTGAACTGACAAGTAGGTGTTTGTCTTCCACGCTGTTCAGGTTGTGAATTGGTTTGTGTGTCAGCATTATGGGACTTACTGCCAGCTTTGCAAGGCAAAATAGTTTGTTAATTTCCTTAAATGTTTGCAGTGATGCCCAGAGTAGCAGTTAGTCACTTGTTTAATTGATCTGTCCTCCCTTAAGTGGTTCCCAGTTAAGACAGGGTTTTTATGATTGTCTGCTGTGTGACTTGAGATGGTTTTTGTCAGCCAGAACGTGCCAGTTGCCAGGAGCTGGAGTCTGCGTGCTTGTAAGAAATAATTTATTCATGCAGGATAATGCCTCTTAACATTTAACAGGTAATGAACGTGACATAAATTTCCTTCTTCCATTTAATTTTTTACTTTCCTCTTTCAATGTGCAAACAGGGAGGCTCTGGTACTCTAAATAGTAAGTAATTTTTGGCCATCTGTCAAAAGGAAATTTCAATACAAATTTAAATTAATGGTGCCTGAAATTTTTTATAGCTCCTTTAAAAGCCTCTAATGTGCAGAAAATTCTGAATCTGCTGGTAGTAATTAGTGTAGCATGTAATGAGGAAATGAGCGATGTTATTCAGCCCCAGTGTAACATTTTGATATGGTAGCAAAATTTTGATTTATATAACGTTTTGCCTGAGTTTAATTGTAAGAGACACTTTAAAGTTTTCTTGCTGATACAGATTATTAAGCAGGGCAGATTTTAAAATAGCTCATAAAGTGTAAATTTACACTGTAGTGTACGTAATGAAGATACACTAGCCATTTCTATAAAGAAAGAAGTTTGGCTGAAATGTCCCATTGCTTGCCACCATTTCCAGCACTCTGGATTTTCTGGGCAGTTCTCTCAGTGAAACTTGCTGTCTCTAGCTGTGCTGGTCCTGACTCCTCTTAGTTCAGACCAGGGAAAAGGCAGTTTGCACCATTCTTCCAAATGGGATGTTTTCTGCCTGATAAGCCAGACTGGGCTCACATCCTTCCCAGCACATCCCTTGAGCGAGTAGTTTCCTGCTGCAGCCAAGTAGTCACCTTCCAGGTAACAAGATTGTCCAGGAGCTGTTCCTAAATAATAGATCAGCATTGGCAGAGGAAGCTCTGTGGAGAAGGGCAGCATTGGGAGCTCTTGCTGCTTCGATTCAGTCTTCCAAATCTGTCGCCAAGTTTGAAGTGTGGGAAAACTCTAAAGGCAGTAAACTGGGCCATGGGAGTGCTCTTTGTGCAGTGGCAAGGCTGTGGAGCACACAAAAGGAAGAGAAGGGTGGCATGTGCCAGGGCTGTGCTCAAATGGCAGCCCTGGCTTAAGGGCTCAGAGGGAATATAGTGTATTTAGGTAGAAAGACAAACTGCTCTGCAGTTAACCGAGCAGCTTTTCACAGTGGACTTAGTGTGTTTCCTTTTTGAAGCTGTAAAACTTCTTTTTTCAAAAAAGAAAAGGAAAAAAGAAAAAAAAAGATTTTTCTAAACTGAATTCTTGCTTGCTAATTGCACCATACAAATTTTTTTCCACATCCTATGAGAACTCCTGGTTCAGGAAGCATGTCCTTCTTCCCAGCTGTGGTACCCTCCCTGGGACAAATGTGGCAAAAGTTTTGCTGGTCCATGTCAAAGTTCCTTCTGTAACACATGCCCTTTGAAGCAGCTGTGGAAACATTTTGTGTGCAAAAGCTCCACCTGGCAGAAAGTAGTGCTAGCAGTCTCTTCCCATGACTCTCACTGCAGCAAGTGGAGTGAAGGAGCGCTCACAGGCTGGGTTGTGGGCCTGCCAGAGCTAGCCAGGATGTTCCTGATCATGTTGTTCAAGAATCTCAGTCTTCTGAATCACTGCTTTGTGCACAGAATGCAGTGTGTGTAACTTTTTACCACATCTTTTGTTAATCTAGATCTCTTGTTCCTTATATAACTGTCATGTGCTGCCTTTCTTTTAGTGGTTGTTTGTTTGTTTTTGTTTGTTTTGGGTTTTTTTGTTTTTTTCTTCACCTGATTTTTAAATTGTTTGGGGCAGAGACTATGACTATAGTAAGACTTGCCAGCTTGGTAAAAACTTTGTTCATTTTGATGACGGAGGTTACTGTTTCAGGAGCAACAAGTGCCAAAATTAAAAACCGCAGTCTTGTGGCAGGAATAAAACAGCTAATCTGGGATTCCTCTGCGAAAAAATACAGACTTTTTTAAATGAAAATATCTGAAATAATTTATCAAATGCAGCTTTGGGGTGAATTTCAGGCCAACATGCTGGTGAATTCAGAGAAAGAAGTCTGTCAGGGCAAATTGAGGTGAATTTAGAAATAAGATTACTTTTGCCTTAATCTGTGTGAAGGCTAATAATTATATGTGTGGGAGATACAGGAAAAGTGGATGGGTGAGATTTTCCCAGTCCATTTGCATTTGTGATAGCCTGTGCTCCAGTGCTTCACAAGCTGTTAGCCACTATTAGTTGTTTAGACCTCTGTTCATTTAGTTGTGAGTAAGCTGCTTACTCCTGAAGCTGTAAGTAACCTAATACTTAAAAAAGAGTTGGCGAGCGTAATGCTTCTGGAAAGTACTAGATAGTTTAAAATAAAAATGCACAACGTATACTATGTAAGACTTTTGGATACTATCTCATGTAATTAAATTTCTAGCTTTGTTCTTCTGCTGATAGAGGAATACCACATAAACTACTGTGATGTATCGCTGTGAACTTTGTCCTATTTGTCAGGTTTCTTTTAAATGTGACTTCTTCTAGTGGCTTGAGTGTCTGCCAGATGTCTTTGTATTCACTCCATATTTAATGAGTCAAAGAAACATAGTTACCTGTTACAAACTTAAAGACATTTGCAGAATGTATTTCCTAATAATTTTGTTATTTTGCCGTTTAATTACCATTCAGCTGAAAAGCGCTTCACAGGCTTGTTAAAATCCAGACATTTCACACTCATGCCACAGATTCTGTTTGTACCTTTCTCTGTTTGGAAACAAGGCATTACATGTGTTTTGCTTTCTGTAATGATGAAGTGGTAGTTTTAAGCAGAGCATATTTGAACTACACTGTTCTACAAGAGTTGTGTTTTTGATCTTCATGGGTGTTTTGGGGATAGCATTACCAAATAAT